TTTTATATGTGCCGACTTAGGGTTGATGTACACATTAAACTGGAGCAAATGCCCAAGTTGCCCCCCCCCCAAATGACGCCACTGATCGAAACGAGTCATAAATTAAAAATTAATTTCATAACTTTTCTACGATAACTGCTAAGTGGCCGTGTAACCGCTCAATCACGTCTCAGTATCTGATTAACACCAAAGTATTTCAATATGACATTTTATAAAACAACAAATTTCATATTTGATAATAATTCAATAATGACACATTTAGTAAAATTAATGAGAAATAATTTTAACTTGTAATTTAAAGAAAACTATAAAATTAACAACCAGTTTTGATTAAACAAAAAGCTCAAAGTTTTTAAATATCCAAAGAAAAAATTTTATTGGAAATCCCGTCCAAATAGATATTTTATTTAAATTATTAAATTTTTAAAATATTTTATTCCCTCAAAAGATTTAAAATGTTTGACGTTTTGCCCAAATACGATATTTTTTTTAAGTTACCCTTGTGTTATAATAATATCCGTGTATTTTCATAGTATATTCGTGTCAAATTTGAATTCAATATCGACCGTTGCCTGGGAAGATTTCGTATCTCAAATACCCATTTTTAAAGGAGCCACGGAAATAAATCAACTGTGGTGCATCAAAGGCATAAGTAAGCTTATAAACACAATATGATAACTACGGTTATAATACTGTAATATTATAATTTAAACGTTTGATGATTTTGCTGCAAGCGAATTCGTGTTTTTTTCGTTCATAAATTTAAAACTTGAACATTTTGATAGTTTCGATATACTTAATAATAATTATTATTCATTCTGAGTCAATAAATAACAGTAGAAAAAAAACCGTTATTTTCAAAATGTTTAATTAAAATCAGAAAAAAATAAAAACTGAACGAATTTTTTTCTCCTATGCCATTGTAATTAAATATTACATTGTTTTTTTAGGTGTTATTTCTGGTATCATAGTTATGGGCGTGGCATTTATCGTCGCTCATTCGTCAGGTGTTATTGATGCTTCTCAGCTAATGACGTCCGCCACTAGTGGACCCCTGTTGGGAGTATTTATATTGGCGATGTTTTTCCCATCGGTGAATTGGAAAGTGAGTATGATGCTAAAATACACGCTAAATGATTTTAGCGACGCATAAAATTTAAAAAAAAAAACCCAAAAACAATTTAACTATACAAATTTGATGTTTTAACACATGGTATTTTTTTTAAAAATGTGATTGGTTTTTTTTTTTTAATTTCTTTAAAATAGCATTACTCTATCGACCACTATATAAAATTCATTAATACGCAAACTGTATCCAATTAAATCGATTAAATTTTAAATTTCAATATATTATTGTGCCATAACCATATCGAGTGAAAACGTTTTTAAGGCATACACGAGACGTTTCACCGATAGTTCTTTATGTGTCCGGTCAGCCTTCAGGAAAAACTGATAGCCATTGACGTATGGTCAATTAAACACCGGAAGGTTATGTTATGGTTTCTTGTGCAGTGGTAAATAATAAATTGGATAAATCGAGAAAAATTGTCAAAAAAACGAAAATATTGTAACGCGTGAAAACCGAGTGCTAATTATTATTATTAGCTTGCAGTGTTGTGCTTGTGCCCTTGGCAATCATTTCGATGATAACCGACCACGGTGAATAAAACACATGGACAAAAATACATAATGTGATTCAAAAAAAAAACTCGTCATCTCTTAATACAAATCTCGCTTTACGCGTAGCTCACAATTATTATACATTTATAATAATTATAATAATTAATATTATTATATTATGTACAACGCGTTTTCTATCAAATTTACAGGGTGCGGCCGCCGGCATGATAACCAGCCATCTG